AGGTTCTCTGATGGTCTATTGTTTTCGCTGTACTGAACAGTTTGTTCTGTCTTTCAAACATCTAGTTAGTTTCTATGTTTGGAGGTTTTTGGTTCAGACCTTCGCTTCAAGGCTGAGGAACTTTTTTTCTTGGTTATTTGAGGATTATTTCAAATGTTGCCACAATGCTTTTCTCAAAATGTTTCTTCTTCCCTCCTTAGAGACATTTGTCGCCGGATGAGTTCCAGCAGGTGTTTGGAATGACGCTGGAGCAGTTTGACCGGCTGGCTCTGTGGAAGAAGAATGACATGAAGAAGAAGGCTCGTCTGTTTTAGATCCAGTTTAAGCCAGGTCTAAGCTTTAATCCAGAAGGAAGCAGAACTGAAAGTCTGCAACATCTATATGCACCAGTTGGACATTTGAAAATGCCGCCTGTTCTTCTCCATGTTCTCACCTGGATGGGGGGGGTAGTGTTTGCATGGTCTGTGTTTTTCTGGCCTCCTGTGAGGTCCATCGTCCCCCTCAGTCCCCTCCTAACGCCGGCCGTCCTCCAGCTTCTCTGTGCTTCTGCTGGTTTGTGGTCTCCAGTCGGTCCAACCTTTAGCCTCGCTGAGGACTGCTGAAGCATGTCGAGGCCAAAGACGGGCTACAGACGGTCTCCACTCCCTCGTTGGACTTCTTCTGGATCTGATCGAGAGCAAATCCACACCTGCTTGTCTTTTATTTGACTTCATCTCATTTTCAGGCCGTAAAATCTGTGAGGTTGTTTCAAAGCCATGAATCAGCAAATGCAAACAGGAAGTGGATAAGGAACAACAACAGGCCGATTCTAAGGAGCTGTGTTACCAGAGTGACGTTAACTCTGAGAAATATTTTTATAAGCTACTTTCAGAGGGCCTTAAACCAACGAGGTGGGAGTTAATCTGAAGTGTTTCCAGCTCTCAGGTCTGGCTGGTTCACCTCATTATGATGGATGGATTCCTGCAGACGCTCAAACTTGAACATATCAAATAAATCCCATCAGCTTTGCTTGATTTTACTTGACTATGACATCATCATCATCATCATATACAGGATGTATGTGAGAATCTACCCTGTCTGTATCTATGAGCATGCGGAGGATGGGAGGAGCTTCCTCTCCTGACGTCATGTTAGGAATCATCAATGTTACTCTATCATATGAATTACCTGGATCTGCTGCTTACGTTTGCTTGTTTAAGGTATTTATTTAAATACAGCGATATGGAAATGACTTTATTTTGAAATCATTAGGATGTTGTGAATGGATGAAGCGTCACACGGATGATGAAGATGATGAAGAGAGCCGTATCACATTTTAATCTGAATGTCCTGTAGTAACCCACTAACTCCTGTCATTATCTTTATGTTGAAACTCTAATATCCATTAAAGTGCTTTAAACCGACTGGTTTCCATTTGATTGACTTCTTCTTCTACCAAACAGACCAGACTAGAGCAGCTAGACCGCCTCAGACCGAGTACTGACCCTGACTGCACACCGCAGACTGAGATGGGGCTCGCTGTTGTGGGGGACGTGACTCGCCGCAGAGGGGGCGTGGCTTGCTGTAGACGGGGCGTGACTCGCAATAGACGGGGCGTGACTCGCAATAAAAGTGGCAAGGCTTGCCGTAGAGGGCGTTTGGCTCACCACATAGGGGGCGTGGCTCGCAGTAGACGGGGAGTGGCCAGCAGTAGGGGGGGACAGGGCTCACCGTAGAGGGCATTTGGCTCACCATAGAGGGGGCTGGGCTCGCTGTAGAGGGAGCATAGCTCGCCATATAGGGGGCGTGGTTTACCAAAGAGGGGCGTGTCTTGCTGTAGAGGGGGCGTGACTCGCAATAGATGGGGCGTGGCTCGCAAAAAAAGTGGCAAGGCTCACCATAGAGGGGACGTTGCTCGCTATAGAGGGGGCTGGGCTCGCAATAGGGGGGAACAGGGCTCGCCATAGAGGGAGCGTAGCTAGCCATATAGGGGGCATGGCTCGCCACATAGGGGGCGTGGTTTACCAAAGAGGGGGCGTGGCTTGCCGTTGAAGCACGTCCCAATCTGTGACTCCAGGCCGCATTTCGGGCCCAATCTGGAGGCGGAAACTATTCAGTCATTGACAAACAGGAATACCGCACCCACTGCCGTGTTTGTCTTTGATAACGAATCATCATTTTTAACATTAGATGATTTACTGTATAAAATAATTCATTTGAATTACTTTTTTCCTCTTGGAAAAGGTTTGCATTTGAACTAAAACAGAAGGTAAATTCCTGCCTTTTTAACCAAATGTAATTCTGTTATATGTGGATTTATTCTGTATTTTCTTTTGCACATATAGAATTGTTCAGAGGTAAACAAAGGTAAACCTAACCTAACCCTAACCCAGAGGTAAACAAAGGTAAACCTA